CAGGAGGGGAAGACCCTCTATGAGGTGGATTGATTCAGTGACTGAGGTAATCGGGATGGGTGTGTCAGAGGCAATGAGATTGGCACAGGATAGAGAACGGTTTAGGGCTGTTGTACATAGGGTCGCTATGAGTCGCAAACGACTCGATGGCACATAACAACAACAACAGCAACAACATATGCATTGTGTTTCATGCACGTACACTGTGTTCCATACAGTACTTCATTTATGTGATATTTCATTGCACTTTCTCTTTTAGGCTCTTGTGTTGTTGTTGTTGTTGTTGTTGTTAAGTGCCATCGAGTCGCAGGCGACTCATATCGACCCTATGAAAGAAAGTCCTGGACACCTCCTGTATAACTTTCATCCTCTCTCCAGGTTCATAGGGTTTCTGGAGGCAAGTTATTGTGGAAGTGGATGCCACTCCTGCTTCCAGTGCTCTTAGCTTTTAACATATGCTTGCAATATCTGTCTAATAATGATAGAGCCCCTGGGGACTGGAATACTGCAACAGGTAACAAGAATGAGACAGTGCTACTTGTATTGGCATGGCATAATGCCATGTGTATATGTTGGGGGGGGTTGTATATATGTTTTTGAAAAGAGGGAGCTCTGGTGCCTAGTGGCAAGAAGCTGCACTGCAATCCCGAAGGCACGCGGTTTGAGCAGAATGCCTAGTTTGGAGGGTTGGGCAGGATAGGCAGTCTTCTCCTGTACATTAACGGCCTCTGAAATCCTGCTGGAGAGTCAGCTATGGGTCGGTTCTGCCTCTTCAGTACACAACAACAACATTTATTTGAACAGTACCTGTTATGGGTACAAAATTCAAGAGCTTGTGCCACCAAGTTGTTTGTGACTTATAATGACTCTATATATGCAATAGCTCTGAACCCTTCCCTATCCTGGGCCCGTCTCACTGACTCTAACACACCTAATCCCTTTGCCCCATTTACCATGTCAATTCATCTCATCTGAGGTCTTCCTTTCCTGCGCTATCCCTCCACTCTTCCAAGCGTGATGTCCTTCTCCAAGGACTGGTCCCTCCTGGCCACTTGTCCAGAGTATGTGAGATGGGGCTTCAAAATCCTTGCATCCAAGGAGAAATTTGGTTTCACCCTCTCCAAAACAGACCTGTTTGTTCTCCTGGTGGTTCCATGGTATCCTCAATACCCTTCTCCAGCACCACACCTCAAAGGCATCAGTTCTTCTTCTGTCATCCTTAGTCATTGTCCAGCTCTCTGATGCATAACAAGTAATTGTGAAGACTGTGGCCTCGATCAAGAGCACTGTAGACTGACATCCTTGCTCTTCAGCACTCTGGAGAGGTCCCTCACAGCCGATTTCTCTAATGTAATTTGTCTTTTGATTTCCTGACTGCTGGTGCCAAGAGTGTTGATTGTGGAGGTGAGCAAGCTGAAATTGTCAACAACCTCAGTTTCCTCTCCATCCATCATGGTGCTGCCAGTTGGTGCCACAACAGTATACTCATTTCTAAGAAAATGAGTTATTTTTATTTAACACTCATTTTCTTTAAAACTTACATGATAACACATTGCTATAAATAATATTGTTAGGAAGGAAAAAAAAAACCCAACAGCCCAAACACAGAACAGTATATATAATGATCCCAGGCATGTAAAATGTCTATCCTATATTTGTTGCTAAATACTAAAGAAATCTCTAGAACTATGTTTTCCAGCTGGTAGCCACTAATCACATATGGCTTTCTAAATTTAAAAAATTAAAATGAAGTAAAAATTCAGAGGTACTAGTTTTAATCCTTTATCCCTAAATTATCTGTGAATTTAATCATGACTATGCCTTGGAGGTATATAAAATAATCATATCTTCTAGTCACTGTCAGTAACACTGTCACATTGTCTTCAATCTTTCCAATGTAGGGAAAACAAAGAACACCCGGTAATAGAAAAACTGGAGGTAGTCACAGTGCCCTCCCCGTCACCCAGAGGACTACCAGTGAAGCATTACGCCGTGCAGTCTCAGCTTCCAGTGTATGAGTGGCCGGATGTGGGGTCTGGAGAATACGATGTTGGAGTTGTAGCATCCTTTGGCCGGCTTTTGAGTGAGGCCCTTATTCTTAAATTTCCCTAGTAAGTCTTAGTTATAAAGAAATGCAGTATAGAAACCCCTAGCATTAAAAATGGACTTGGTATCTGAAATATGATAACTTGAACTTTCTTTACTGGATTTAGGAGGTTTTTTTATCATTAAAAGAGACTATGATACTGTGGGCGTGTTGCCAGGAGGGAACAGTCCTTGGAAAAGGACATCATGCTGGGATAGGTGGAGGGACAGAGGAGAGGAAGATGGATTGACAATGACTGTAGCAGTGGGCTCGTGCATATCAGAGGGTGGCGCAGGATAGGGCTGGGTTCAGATGTGTTTTTCACAGAGTTGCAGTGAGTAGTAATTGACTTGATGGCACTTAACCACAATGAGTAACATGACCTGTTGTCAGAATGTGCTAGGTTCCTTCCCACTTTCTCTGGGCTCTTCTCCAGCCTCATTTAAATTCCATAGCCTTTTTCTGATGGCTCCCAAATCTATCCTCCAATCCCCGAGTGCCCTCCTAATGCTAGACATTTGCCTCCTCAGCTCTGCTTGGATGTCTGATAGACATTTCACATTCAGAACACCTCTGAAACTTAAAAACCTACATTTTTCATATTTAAAAGTACCAAACCTGCTCCCCCTCAGATCTCCATCTCAGTAAATGGCAATGCTGCCCTTCTTTCTCCTTGCTCAGGTGCAGAACATTGGAGTCATCCCTGATCCCTTGTATCACACTTTATATCCAGTTCGTCAGGACATCCTGCTGGCTCTCCCTGCAAAATCTGTCTAAATGTCTCATCACTCCCACTGCTGCTGTCTCGCCTGAGCCACTGCAGTAGCCTCTTAACTGGGCATTACTACCCTTGGCCTTCTTAGGGCTTATACCATCCCAATAGCCAAGATGATTTTTTTAAAGCATGATTTCAGATCTGTCACTCCACTTGATATGTGATATTTCCTCATCTTATGCAGAATAAAAGTAAAAGTTACTGTGTTGACCTACAAGGCCCTACGCGGGTTGGTCCTCTGCTCTCACCTACTTATTGTTCCCAGTTCACTCTACTCCAGCCTCACTGACCCTTGCAGTGCCTGAACTTGCCAAGCATTTCCTTTTCCTCATTGTTCTTTCTGCCTAGGAAGTGTTTCTCCATCTCCATTGTTCATACTCTTACCTTCTAAGTCCTTGGAGTATCACTCATAATCTCTCATCTGACACTCCTTTATCCCCGTCTCTGGTTTATATTTCTCCACAGCACTTACAGATTTTACTGACAGAGTTTACAGATTTTGTTGTTGCTTATCTCCAACTTTGCACATAAGCTCCCCGAGGATAGAACTTTTGTTCCGTTTGATTCCTTGCACTTCAAATAGTGCCTGCACATTGGTTATGTTCAGTTTATATTTATTGGATAAAATAGAATAACAGTGGAGCTTAGAAATATAAAACTTCCTCACACAAATCTATAGGCGCTTCAGAGCCCTCGCATTGAAGGAGACAGCATTAAACTAATAGCAGGTTTGTGAAGTATTTAAGTTGTTCGTCAATGGATGATAGGTGTATTAAGGTAAATAAATCATTTGATGACAATTCAAGAAGCATCTGTATGCAAACTGAGTGAAGTAAGGGAGTTGTGTGACTGAATTAGAAAGTTTACATTGTCCATGAGATGCTAAGACTTAAGTGGTTTTTCTCACACAATAATGAAGAAACATAGTTTTTAAAATTTTATTTTAAAACTCCCAGATATCATGCATTGTTGTGAGCATCTTTAGAATACTAAATAGTTACTCTTGCTCTGTTTTTAACTAGGTTCTTTGTTTTCTTATGCTAAGAGAATGAATTTACTTCCACTTGGGTATTACTAGATTTAACTGTCAGTTTTTCCGAATTCTTAGAAAAATTCATTGAGGAAAAGTAGCATAGTAGTTAAGCTAGGAGTAACTAAATTGTGAGGCTTGTTTGTAACCTGATTTCTGCGTTTCAGTGGCGTATTGAATGTCCATCCCAGTTGCCTCCCAAGGTGGCGTGGTCCAGCCCCTATCATCCACACAGTCCTCCACGGAGACACAGTGACTGGAGTTACCATTATGCAAATTAGACCTAAAAGGTATAGCACATTTCCTTGATGTTTTGTGAATGTATTTCTTGAGTTTGTAGGATTGTTGAGATTTTGAATGTTGACCAAGAGTTTGAGCCAGGGGGAGCTCTGGTGGCCTAGTGGCAAGGAGCTGCAACTACAATCCTGGAGGCGCACGGTTCGAATCACCAGGTGCTCAGCCGGGAAAGGAGGGACAATCTCCTCCTGTACCAGTCAGATCTGATTTGGCGGTACACTCACACAAAAATAATAAAATAAAATTTAAAAAGAATCTAAAAAAAAAAAGAGTTTAAGCCAGGAAACTAAAATGGGTGATACTGTTTCTTTAATTCCAAAGTGCTTCCTTTGCTTTTTTCAAACTTTGGTCTTATCCTGATTTCTAACAAAAGTCTTATGACCTTTTTCTTTAAGCAATACCTCTTTAAAGTTCTTAGAAATTTTTTAATTGAATAATTGACACCTGGCCGGCCTTTTATAAAACATATCTAAGTGAGAGATGGAATTCTGTGTTTGTTCGATAGAAAAAAAGAGATGAAGGTGAGAGAAAGAAAGAAGCTGGTCCCAAGAAATGAACAGGCCTTTATAAAGCATGGTCTAAGAGGGACACCAAGTGACCTCTTGAAGAGAACATAAAAATGTCACCTGGGCAGTCAAGGACAGTTCCTTTATATAGGAGGTTTTAGGGAGGATTAGGGAGGATGGTATTAGGGTGGAGGTCCTATTAATTAACTTAGGCATGAGCTTGTGTGATCAGGCCCAGAGCCTTATCAAGATCCGGTAATGGTAGTCTGGTTTGGTCATCTTAGACATTAGCCATTATCAGGTTTCCTCAAAGAGTGATCAGGTCTGAGGCAACTGCAACATTCTTCCTCCATTGTTACTTACTATGAATCCTGGTTCTGTGGGCTTTGGTTTCTACACTGGTCAAAAATTTTTTTGGAACCTGAAATAAGGATACATTGTGTACCAATGTTATAATATTACCTTAAATTTAATTTTTATATCAGACCTACAATCTTAGAAATAATTTGTTGATAATAAACAGTTTGTTAATTATTATTAATCACCATTGTTAAAAATGGCTTATTGTGGTTGTTATGTGCCATCAAGTGAACTACGACTCACGGTGGGTCAATGAACAGCACCCTGATTTGACTTGGCAGCAGTAAGTTTAGTGGGTTTGGTTCATCAACAAATGTCTCATAGAAAAGAACAATTCATGATTTTACAAAAATGAGAAATCTGAGATTCAGGGAAAAATGAAGAGAAGAATGGGAAAAACTTGTTAATCTTTAAACCTGTGTGATTTGGTTCATTATGCTAACCAATAATTTTGTGAGTATAATTTTTCTTTTGGCACATTTTTTTTTTGTGATTTGACTGAAAGTTTACAAAGCATGTTGATGTTTTATTTATCATTCGTAGATATTTTGGGTTTATTTTAAATTTTTGGTGAAGCTTTTTTTTTCATTCTCATTCACATTGTGTTTCGTATGATCATTCACATACACTGTGTCTTATAAAATTAATCATCATTGATCTTTGCCCACTATTACCTCATCTTTTCAGATCCCCACTGGATCCTTCCTAATTCCTTCACCTGCTCCCTCCACCTGCCAAACTCTGCAACCCTATGATTTCCTCCCCTCCACCCCCCACCCCTTGTCCCATCCCCTTCTTTCTTTGGACATAATTATATACATATCTTAACTAGTTATCCTTCTGTTTTTATAATAACAGTCTTATGCAGTATTTGTCCTAAATGCTGCATTTTACTTCATCATGTGAATGTACCACAATCTCTCAATCCAGTTGTTTGTTGATGGATGTTTAGGCTGTTACTATATTCTTACTATTTTGAATAATGCTGCTATGGACATAGGTGTACAAATCTCTATTTATATCTTACTTCTGTTTTCCTTCGTGTATATTCCTAGCAGTGGAATAGCCAGGTCATATGAAATTTCTATGTTCAGCTTTTTGAGGAAACGCCAGACTGCCTTCCAGAGTAGCTGTACCATTTTATAGTCCCACCAATAGCATATGAGAGTTCCAATTTCTGCATATTCTCTCCAACATTTATTCCTTGCTGTCCTATTAAACTTTGCCACTGTTACTGGAGTGAGATAGTATCTCATAGTGGTTTTGATTTGTATCTCTTTCATTGCCAGTGATCTTGACCATTTATTCGTGTGTCTGTTGGCCATTAAAATGTCTTTGTCTGTGAATAGTCTTTCCATATCTTTTGCCCATTTTGTAATCAGGTAGTCAGTCTGTCGAGGCCCTGTAGGATTCTGTAAACTTTTTTTATGAGACCTTGTCTGATAGCTCATTGCCAAATGGTTTTTCCCACTCTATAGGTTCTCTTTTCACCCTATTGGAAAAAGTATTAGATGCACACAGGGAGTTTGTCTTTAGAAGGTCCCATTCATTGATGTGATCCTCTCCTGGTTGTGAATACACATTTGTTTTATAACGTTAATTACAATCCCTACAATCATCTTCTTATTATAGATTGCCTTTCCCTTTGCTGAATGTAATTTTTCTTTTTTAAATGAAAGGAACAGAGGTTTGGGTCTTTCCTGTTTCCTTCACCCCCTCTCTCTACCCACCAAATTGTGCAACCCTGTGATTTCTCCCCTACACATCCTCATCCCTCTGCTCTCCCCCTTCCTCCCTTGGGTCCCTATACATGTTTTACTACTTATACTCCTATTTTTACAATAATATCTTGAATGTAATTTTTCTTAATAAACATTTTATTAAAGCTCATAAGTTAAAAAAATAGAATAAACAGAACCACAGAGTTGTTATTGTTATTGTTATGTGCCGTCGAGTCGCCTGTGACTCATAGCGACCCTATGTACAACAGCCCTAAACTCCGCTCTGTCCTGTGCCAATCGCACTGTCTCTGACACTCCCATCCCAATTATCCCAGTCAGTGAATCAATCCACCTCATAGAGGGCCTTCCTCTCCTGCGCCATCCCTCCACCCTCCCAAGCATGATGTCCCTCTCTAAGGACCGGTCTCTCCTCACAACATGTCCAAAGTAAGTTAGACAGAGCCTCAGAATCCTTGCCTCCAAGGAGCCACCCGGTTTAACCCTTTCCAGGACAAATCTGTTTGTTTTCCTAGCAGTCCATGGTATTCTCAATACTCTTCTCCAGCACCACAGCTTAAAGGCATCAATTCTCCTTCTATCCTCCTTGGTCATTGTCCAACTCTCTGATGCATAACAGGTGATTGCGAAGACCATGGCCTGTATCAGACGCACCTTAGTCTCCAGAGAGACACCACTGCTCTTCAGCACTTTGGAGAGGTCCCTAACAGCAGACTTTCCCATGGCAATGCGCCTTTTAATTTCCTGGCTGCTGGTGCCAAGACTGTTGACTATGGAGCCAAGCAAACTAAAGCTGTGTACAATCTCAATCTCTTCACCATCCATCCTGATGCTGCCAATTGGTCCAGTGGTGACAATCTTTGTCTTCTTGACATTGAGCCTCAATCCATATTGTAGGCTGCAGTCCTTGACACTGCAGCAGGCGCTTCAGGTCCTCCTCAGTTTCAGCAAGCAGGGTTGTGTCATCCGCATAACGCAGATTGTTGATAAATCATCCACCAATCCTGACCTCACATTTCTCCTCATAGAGCCCAGCCTCCCGGATAATCTGTTCTGCATATAGGTTGAAAAGGTATGGAGATAGGATGCATCCCTGGCGTACGCCCTTCCCAATTTTGAACCATGCAGTGTTCCCTTGCTCTGTTCTGACGACTGCCTCCTGGTCCAAGTATAAGTTTCGCATTAGAACGATCAAGTGTTCTGGGATTCCCATTCTTCTCAGAGTCAGCCACAGTTTGTTATGATCTACACAGTCAAATGCCTTTAGATACTTAAAATATGCTGCTAATAGAAGAAACTCATGACTAATATTTATAGAACCTGCTATAGAATGTAAAATTTGTGAGGATGCAAATAGATTTCACCTCCTCACATTCTCAATGATTATAGTCAAGGTAAACCTCTTGTCTTTTAAGGAAGAAGATTTGTTGTTGTTGTTATGTGCCATCGAGTCGCTTGCGACTCATAGCGACCCTATGTACAAGAGCCCTTAAACACTGCTCTATCCTGTGCTAACCTTGCCGTCTCTGGCACACTCATTCCCACCACCCCAATCAGAGAATCAATCCATCTCATCGAGGGTCTTCCTCTCCTGCGCCGTCCATCCACGCTCCCAAACATGATGTCCCTCTCCAAAGACCAGTCCCTCCTTGCAACATGCCCAAAGTATGTCAGATGAAACTTCAGAATCCTTGACTCCAAGGAGCATTCCGGCTTCACCCCCTCCAGGACAAACCTGTTTGTTCTCCTAGCAGTCCATGGTATATTCAACACTCTTCTCCAGCACCACTGCTCAAAGGCATCAATTCTCTATCATCCCTAGTCACTGTCCAACTCTCCGATGCATAGCACGTAATTGCGAAGACTATAGCCTGGATCAGGTGCACTTAGTCTCCAGCGTGACGTTGTTGCTCTTCATTGCTCTTGAGAGGTCCCTCACAGCTGACTTTCCCAATGCAATTCATCTCTTGATTTCCTGGCTGCTGTTAACCAAGAGTGTTAGCTATGGAGCCAAGTAAACTAAAACTGCTAATCTTCTTATACATTCTTAGAAAAGAAACCCATTTTTTATATAATCTATTACTAAGAATACATATATTTATTAATTGCAGTTGAATCTGATATATAGCTGTCTACTTTCTTCCTTTAGGAAAAATGAATTTAAAATCTAAGTACTAGTGCTGGCCAATTTTTCTTCTTCCAAACTAACATTTCTCTCTCACTAACCATTAGCAGTCAAATTCCTGGCCATGGTTTAGATAAACTTTTTTTCTTTTTAAATTTATTATTAATTTCAGTAAAAATTTACAGAGACTTTGGGTTTCCGTTCATTTATTGTTGCACTTTTCCCCCTTCCTAGCCCTCCCCCCTAGTACACTACCCTCTTGTAAAAGTAAAACAAAAATTCTTCATTATTTTACACTCCACCATGTAGCCCTCACTTTAGGCTCCTGTCATGACAAAAATACCTAATCACATATCCCTTTTAAACAGTTTTCTCCCTCACCTGTTTCAATGCAGTATACATTATTGAACCCATCTTTCTCAGTCTCCCCCCAATGCCGATATCAGTCCTGTTTTACAATAGTGGCACCATGTCCTTTTGTGCTGAGATACTTCACTCAGCATAATGTCCTCCAGGGTCACCCATTTTGAATAATATTGCATGAGTTCCTTGTTTTTCAATGCAGTATAGCATTCCATTATGTGAATATGCCACAGCTTCTCTATCCATTCGTTTGTTGATGGGCACTTAGGTTTTTCCAACTCCTTGCTGTTGTGAACAAAGCTGCGATAAACATGGGTGTGCATTAGATAACCTTTTCTTTGTAAATATTCATGTAAATAAACTATTTCTTAAGAAATAGTCAATAATCATTATTATTTTTGCTTTTGGGGTTTTTCCACAGGTTTGATATAGGCCCAATTCTCAAACAGGAAACTGTCCCTGTTCCGCCAAAAAGCACCGCAAAGGACTTGGAAGCAGTATTGTCAAGACTGGGTGCTAGCATGGTACAGTTTACAATATCCCACTGCTTTGTATCCTTTTAGTGGGTTTCCTAGGTGTTTGGAACAATTTTCCAATGTGTCATTTTAATCTCCTTTTAAAATAAAAAAAAAAGAAGAATGTTTTATATTGTGGCTTTCTAAAAATTAGGTTGGCATTTGTGACCACATATAAGCCTTTGAGAACTTTTACGGAGTAGGTACTTAATAAAGGCTTTCAAATGGAATAGGTGACTTTGTATGGTCTACTAGATTTGATAACAAGGCCTCTAAAATATTCCTCCTGGTTTCACTCTCCTCACCTTCATGGTGATACAGTGGTTAAGTGACTGATTGCTGATGAATGATAGTCAGCAGCTCCGAGGGAGAAGGGGCCTGGTGATCTGCTCCCATAAAGAAAACTGCTCTGTCTTACAGGGTTGCTGAGAGTTGGAGTCACCTCTGTAGTACAAAGCAGTCTCATCCAGGTACCTGGTCTCCCGGTCACACAGAATCAACTTGTGACTCTTAGCTTTCTTCCCTCTTCTGTGTAGATGTTCCAGTAATTTGTATCCATAGGCACGGGAATTCTGCAGACCCCTGGCTATACATGATCTCCAAGTGTCTGTGGCTTTTGTAACCAGGCGGGCCTCTGTAGATGCTTAATGACTTTCATGTGTACTGGTTAATTGTATATAGAGGAAAACATTTTCACAACTATCTTATTCTAGGCAGTCACCTTGTAGATGCCATGATAATAGTGATTGCCATTTATGGAGTTTGGGCTGTGCACCAAAACCATTGTAGGTGCTTCATGGACTTTTAAAATTTTACCCTCAGAAGAAATCTTTTAGCTAGTTGTTGCAGTCTATTGTTTTACAAAGGATGATACTGAAGACTACAAAGAGGTCAGATACCTTACACAAAGACAGCTAGTAAGTAGTAGAACTAGGGCTTTAACCCAGAGCTATGAACTGGAGGCTTTATTATTCTCTGTGTGGCCTTCATTCATGGAGAGTGAGATTGTGGATAACTAAACACAGTCTGTCCAGATTTGGAAACTTGCATAGTCATGCAATGGTGCTCAGCAGCCTTTGGAAGCAAATCAGTTTCTCTGTTAAAATAAAGCACTTTGCAGAGAGCAGCATCTTTCCCAGAACTGCGCTGACTGAATACTTAACCCTCACAGCTTAAGCCAGTTTATGACCCAGCCCAGCCACACAGCTCTTTGAAAGTTCTAGGTAATCGTGTAGTACTCAATTGTAATGTCTGCTTCTGTCCTATTTGTTTTGGTCATATTGCTCTTCCTTTTTCTTTTGTAGCTTATTTCTGTTTTGGAAAATTTGCCTGAAAGTTTGAACAGTGGAAGGCCACAGCCGACTGAGGGGGTGACATATGGTGAGTGAAGGCTGTGGACCCTTACATCTAAGGCCTTATTTGGCATAATGGCATCTGAAGAATATTCTGAGTCCTTTCATTTGTTTTGATTATTTTTCTAAATAAATTTTTTATTGTGATTTTAACAAAAGTTTACAGAAAACTTGGATTTTCAATCACTTATTCATTGTTGCACATTTTCCTCCCTACTTCCCCCCACATTCACTTTTCTTTTAAAAAAACTGATTTATAGGGAGCTCTGGTGGCCTAGTGGTAAGAAACTACACTACAGTACCAGAGGCACATGGTTTGAATCTACCAGATGCTCTGCTGGAGAAGGAGGGGCAATCTCCTCCTGTACTAGCCAGATCCAATTTGATGGTACACACACACACAAAATAATAATAATAAAAAAAAATTTTAAAAACCCATTTATTGTTGCACAATTTCCTCCCTGCCCCACACCCAGGTGTCCCTTAATTTTGCCTTGAGTTGATTGCCCACTTGGCTGTCCTTTTCCATAGGAAGGTCAGTGAGGTCTCCTCCATCATAGCACATAGCCTCATGAAGAATTGGGACATTTTTTTCTGACTTGTTATTTTTAAACGTATTAGAGGATAGTACGCAGTTCAAATCCACCAGATGCTCTGCTGGAGAAGGAGGGGGCAGTCTCCTCCTGTACCAGTCAGATCTGATTTGACGGTACACGTAAAAACAATTAAAAAAAAAAAAGTATTAGAGGATAAATTGAAAAACTAGGACAATGAATACTATTTACTCCAGAATCAAGTTTTTGGCATTTGATATATTTTCTTTTGGCAGAAAGCAGAGAGTACCAGAGGAATATCTTTCTGTGTTTCATTAACTATGCAAAGGCATTCGACTGTGTGGATCACAACAAATTGTGGTTGACTCTGAGAAGAATGGGAATCCCAGAACACTTGATCGTGCTAATGAGAAACCTATACTTGGACCAAGAGGCAATTGTCAGAACAGAGCAAGGAAATACTGTATGGTTCAAAGTCAGGAGATGAGTGCATCAAGAATGCATCCTGTATCCATACCTTTTCAATCTGTATGCAGAACGGATTATTTGGGAAGCTGCATTTTTATGAGGAGGAATGTGGCATCAGGATTGGAGGAAGACTCATTAACAAACCACCTTGCTTGCTGAAACTGAAGAAAACCTTCAGTGTTTGCTGCAGAAAGTCAAGGACTGTAGTTTTCAATATGGATTGAAGCTCAACATCAAGAAGACAAAGGTTCTCCTAGTAGCAAGAAGTGCACTGCAATCCCAGAGGTACACTGTTCAAATCCACCAGATGCTGTCCTGGAGAAGGAGGGGCAATCTCCTCCTGTACCAGTCAGATCCAATTTGACAGTACACACACACAAAAATGATTTTTTTTTAAAAAAAAGACGACAAAGATTCTCACCACTGGGCCAATTGTCAGCACCATGATAGATGGAGAAGAAACTGAGGTTGTTAACAATTACAGCTTGCTCAGCTCTACAGTCAACACTCTTGGAAACAGCCATCAGGAAATCAAAAGACAAATTACATGAGGAGAATCTGCTGTCAGGGACCATTCCAGCGTTCTGAAAAGCAACAATATCACTCTAGAGACTAAGGTGTGCCTAATCCAAGCCATGTTCTTTACAATTACTTGCTATGCATCAGAGAGCTGGACGATGACTAAGGATGATAGAAGAATTGATGCCTTTGAATTACTGTGGTGCTGGAGAAGAGTCTTGAACATTCCATGGACTGTCAAAACAAATAGATCTGTCTTGGAGAGGGTGAAACCAAGTTTCTCCTTGGAGGCTAGGATTTTGAAGCTCTGTCTCACATGCTTTGGGCACGCGGTCAGGAGAGACTGGTTCTTGGAGAAGGATATCATGCTCAGAAAGGTAGAGTGACAGTGCAGGCGAGGAAGACCCTGAATCGGATGGATTTATAGAGTAATTGGGGCAATGGGGATTGATGTGTTGGAATTAATGAGACTGGCTCAAGACAGGCAGGGTTCAGAGCTGCTGTACAACGGCTGGTTGCTATGGGTCACAGGTGATTTGACTGCACATAACAATAGCAACAATGTATATGTTTTATTTATATATTTTAATTTTGACTTAACCATTTAGAAGCAAGCTTAATGACCTTTCACTCCTACTTTAGCATGTATCTTCAAATAAAAGCAAACAATTCCCTAATTGCATCTAATAAGTAGTCCATATATAAATAATCAACAATTCATGGATGTGAAACCTGACAGTCCTTCTTGCTGTTGACTTTATCTTTCAGCCCCTAAGATTTCTGCTCGTTCTAGCTGTGTAAAATGGGAGGAACAGACGTCAGAGCAAATCTTCAGACTTTATCGTGCCATTGGAAAGATAGTAAGTCAGAAGTCCAATTGCCATTTTGCCTAGTTTTGGGCTCTGGGCGGGGGGGATGTGAGGAGGAGAGAGAGACACATATAGATTGATTTTCTTTCTAATATCTTCTTTAGGAATGAATCTCATAAACTAGACTTGTTAGCTGACATTGAGTGGGCCCCTGCATAGTGCAGTGTGCAAATACACGATGGAATTGGACCGCTGTGATTCACAGGGTTCTCTCTGGCTGTTTGGAAGGAGTTTGCCAGGCCTTGTCATGTTAGTCTGCGAGCTCTCCTGAAGCCGTTCAGCATCATAGTAACCTGCAATGGAGGCTGCACATGAGTTGCCGGAGCTGGGAAATGAGCCCACTGTCTCTGACAGAAGGCAAAGCACTGCCACTGAACCACCACTGTCCCGGACAAAACTTGGGAGATTTAATATATGATTTGAAAATAAGCCTTATGTTTCATAGGAAATTTAGAAAATGCAGAACACTTTAAAATAGATACTTTGCTGTTTCAGATGAGTACGTTTTACTATCACTTGTTGGATGAGGAAAATGGAAATGAATAAAATGAATAGGTAAATGACTAACTTAGGGCTACCCAGTCACTAAATCATAAAGCTGGATTTTCTAATGCCTGATCCAGTGCACTTTCTAGTATGCCTTTTGCCTCTGCCTAACTTATTATCAAAATTTTAAACTCTTGAATTATACATATATCAGCTTATTAAATTCTCAGTTCTTTAATAAATTTATGACTTTATTTTCTTTATTCAGATAGGTTTTTGTGTTGTTTGAACCTACACTACAAGTGCGATTTTAAATGGCCCACCTCTCTTAAAGTGGGAACAGCCATTGAACTTCTACAGCATGTCTGGTTCTTTAGTGGAGATCACAGCCTCAGGCTGGAGGTGTTATTTTAATGCTGAGGAAATCGAGGCTCACTGTAGATCCTGAGTGAAGTATTGTGGAGTGGTGGTCAAGGGCCTGGTTGTGCCACTAACCAGCACGCAAGACACTGGAAAATAGCTGCCTCTCCCTGAGCCTCAGTTTCCTTGTCTGTGAAATGCAGGATTGAGGGATAGTCTGAAAATGACTGTATTCAATTTAGAAGTTTGAGAGAACTTACTTCTAACGTATATGAAATTTGATAAACCTGGAAGTCCAGTTTCAGGATTCCAGTCGAAATTTGTTATATGACCAAAATGGCATTTCACATCAAGGGGGGGAAGGGAAGACAGTGAGCTGGATTATCCAGAAAATAGCATTGGGACAACTGGCTCATGCCCTCAAGTACTCACAAGTCCTACTTTTTTATTTATCTGTTTACTTTTTATTGTGAATTGGATAAAGGGTTACAGAGCAGAGCAGTTTCCCATTCAATAGTTCACACACATTTGTTTCAGGCGTTGATTACACTTCTTCCCTGTGTTTCCTGTGTCCATTTTTCCTTCTTTCCTAATGCTTGCTATCTTCTGAACTTTGTCCTTGAGCAGCTGCTGCCTTTTTTATCTCAAATGGTTGAGTCCATGCCTCCCTGTTGGTGCTGTTCACCTTATGAACCAATTTTATTTCTTGACTGAAAACTGAGCCACAGAGATCAGTTCCGTTCCAAGCCTGCAAGGTGATTGGGGTCATAATTTGAGGGGTTCCACCAGTTTCCATCCAACCAGTAAGCTTAATCTTTTCATGTAAATTCTGTCTTTTAAAATAAAAACCAAGTCTAGGGGAATCTAGGATTTTAGTGTCAAATCTGAAATCATAAAGGGCCAGGGAAAAGCGCAGCTAGATGGTTTTTACTGTATTTAATAATTATAAAGTGTAGGTCAACCTTTCCAAGTATGTTATAAACCACTGAACTCATGGGAGAAAACACTGATTACAGTAACTCCCTAAGTATGAAAAACTTGGAAAAAAATTATTCTACCCTACATTGATTAAGGGGGTTCTGGTAGCCTAGTGCAGGAAATTGTGCTGCAGTCCCAAGGGTACACAGTTTGAGTCCACCAACTGCTTCATGGGAGAAGGATGGGCAGTCTCTTGCTATGCAATTAACTGTCTCTGAAAACCCACCAGAGAGTCAGCTATGGGTCGGTTCTGACTCAGTAGTACACAACAACACAACCCTAGATTAGAGGTCAACAAAGTAGAAAAAATATCATAACATTGTTATTGTTGTTGAATTGGACAACATGAGAATTAAACATCATATGAGAATTAAAGGCCTAATTTTATAAACATATGAAAGGCTTTAGCAAACTAATGAAGAGACAAATGGCCTAGTTTTTTAAAAAAAATAATGGGCAAAGGAACAAATAGGCAATTGACAAAGGAATAAATAAAAATTATAAGTAAATGTGAAAGTTTTTCAGCTTCACCAACAGTAAGTAGTATTAGATTGTCTTTTTATTTTTTCCACTTATCAAGGCAGATTAGCAAGAAAATGTTGATAGTCTTTAAGCTAGACATTCCACTTTAAAAAAAAAATACACGTAACTCCAGGAATAATAAAAGTCCCCTAACACATAATGGAAGGCTGTTTATTGCCACATATTTGTGGCAAGAAATTGAAAATAGCTGAGAAACTCATCCTGATAGCATTGGTTTCATAAACTGTGATGATTGTATAAACTATGATATGTTCATAAAATTCAGGGTGATATTTTATAGTCTATTCATAAATGAAGTACTGTGAAGCAGAGGAGTGAAATAGTGTCTCCTGATATGAAGAGTTGTCCTCAGTTTGTGGTCAATTACAACTCCTTACCAAATAGTATTTTCTGATTTTGTATAATTTTAGAAAAAAATATAAGGAAATGCATATTGATCAAACTGATAATGGTGATTTCCTCTGGAGATGAAAGTAAGGATATTTTAATCTCTAAAATGACTAGAATAGTACATTGGCAGAGAACTACCAGATATATAAGATGGGTTTAGAAGAAGCCATGGCACTAGAGACATTATCTCCAATGTCAGATGGATCTTGGCCGAAAGCAAAGAGTACCTGCAGAATGTCTAACTGTGCTTCATTGACTATGCAAAGGCATTTGACTGGATCACAACAAATTGTGGCTAACCTTGAGGAGAATGGGAATCCCCGAACACTTGATTGTATTCATGCAAAACCTATACTCAGACCAGAAAGCAGTCCTCAGAACAGAACAAGGAAATGCTGCAGCCTTCAAAATCAGGAATGAAGTGTGTCAGGAATGTGTCCTGTCTCCATACCTTCTCAGTCTGTATGCAGAACAGATCATTTAGGAAGCTGGGCTCTATGAGGAGGAATTTGGCATCTGAATTGGAATAAGACTCATCAACAACCTACATTCTGCAGAAGACACAATCTTGCTTGCTGTGTTTGCAGCAGAAGGTCAAGGACTGCAGTCTTCAATATGAATTGAAGCTCAACATCAAAAAAACGAAGATTCTCACCACTGGGTCAATTGGCAGCACCATGATAGATGGAGAAGAGATTGAGGTTATTAACAATTACAGCTTGTTCAGCTCCACAGTCAACATTTTCGGCACCAGCTGTCAAGAAATCAAAAGACAAATTGCACTGGGGAAATCTGCTGTCAGGGACCTCTCCAGAGTACTGAGAAGCAACAATGTCAGTCTAGAGACTAGTGCTAATCCAGGCCATGGTCTTTGCAATTACTTGCTATGCATCAGGGAGCTAGACAGTGACTAAGGATGATAGAAGAATTGATGCATTCAAGTTGTGGTGCTGGAGAAGAGTCTTGAACATATCATGGGCTGCCAAGAAAACAAGTAAATCTGTCTTGTAGAAGATGAAAACAAGTTTCTTCTTGGAGTCTAGAATTTTGAAGCTCCGTCTCCTATACTCTGGACACGTGGCGCCAGAATGAGCCGGTCCTTGGAGAACGACATCATGCTTGGAAGGGTAGAAGTGATAGCACAGGAGAGGAAGACCTAGGATGAGATGGGTTAATATAGTAACTGGGGCAAGGAGGGTAGGTGTGTCAGAGTCAGTGAGACTGGCTCAGGACAGGGCAGGCTTCAGAGCTACTGTCCATAGGTCGCTAGGAGTTGCAGATAACAACAACACAATGTTTTTTTAATAATATGATTTGTTCACATTTTATATAATGAATATAGATTTTTTTTTCAGTTAGATAGACTAGTAGGGAGATAAATATTCATTTAAAAATAACATTTAATATCTAAATTCTCAAAACTGGGCAGATGGAGGTCATGATTATATTCTGTTCTGGAAAAATTATAGACTTCATTCCCAATTCCTTTGTAATTAATGGGAAAAGACATCACACCAGATCAGCACAAAAAAGAGTAGGCATACACTAGGGATATTGTGGATCTGATTCTAGACTAACACAATAAAGCAAATATTGCAGTAAAGCAAATCACATGATTGTCCAGTGCTTATGTGATATTTACACTATATTTTAGTCTGTTAGGTACACAATAGTGTTATTACAAAGTTTGAAGTATTGTGAGAATTACTCAAATGTGACAGACACCAAAGGACCACATGTTATTAGAAAAAATGAAGCATAATAAAACAAAGTTTGCCTGTAATGATTGGAAATGATTTCTGGAAATGAAACATGGTTGTGTACTGGTTTGAGAAAAGACTGTTAACCGTTTTGCTTTTTTAAAAAAGGGAAATTATTTTTTGGATTGAGTGTGTGTCTTCCTTTACCTTCTTTAATTTTACTTGCAGATTCCACTGCAGACACTCTGGATGGATCATCCCGTTAAACTTCTGGATCTGGTCGAAGTTAGCAGTTCCATCCTTGCTGGTACTAACCTTTCAATTGCTGAAATGGAGAATGCTTTCATTATAGTCTGTTTGAAAATGTATATGTTTTACTCCAGGTCATATTTACTACTAAAAGGATTCTTTTGTTTGTTTCTGTTTCATAGAATTCTTTACTCTTATTCTTTCATTGTGCAATATTCATTCTCATTTAATCGGGCAGAACACCGTTATCCATTTCAAGCTTTGTGATTTCCTCCATTAAGATTTCAGAGAGTGCAAAATGGCTTGATTCATTTCATTCTTCTCAGTGTCATAATTAAAATCTCAGGCCGCTCAGAATCTTAGGCCAGCATAGAGCACCCCAGGCTTTCCCAGACACAGGTCCATTCTAAGGCCCGTCCGTACCCTCCTAAGAAGGTGGGCCCAAGGAACGTGAGCTGAGCTGGCCTGGTTCGGTGGTGGTTGTCGTTGTTAGGTGCCATCGAGTTGAGTACAACCAGTTGCTATGAACAACAGTTCTGAATCCTGTCCTATTGCATGCCAACCTCACACTTCCTGACACACTAGAGCCCGTTGTGGCAGTCACCGTGTTAATCCGCCTGGTTGAGGGTCTTCTCCTTTACCAATGCTCCACTCTTCCAAGCATTATGTCTGTTTCCAAGGAATAGCCTCTCCTATCAACATACCTGAAATTGTCCAGTAATCTAGGAACTTATATTTGTTTGGTCAGGTACGGAAGAGCCTATGCATTGGCCACTTTGAATCAATCACATGATTAGAACCTAGCCCTCCTGTAATTCACTCTGTGGCTGGGTAGGTGTTTATCTAAAATTGTCAGTGCCCAGATTCTGCATGTCAGAATGATTGCTGAGGGACTGGTTAAGAGTTTCTTCTTTGTAAAGAAATTATTCCTTTGAGCTCATGATGGTTACAGAGCACCTTGGCTCAGCCTTCCATCTTGTGCTACAAAATCAGGGCCTCTACAGATGTGGCCAGTCTCAGTACTGTCTCCCAAGTCAGTTGTTTCTCAAGAAATATCACAAAGTTGCATAATTTTTTATTTTTATTTTTTAGATCCAAAGTTAGCAAGACAGACTGTCATCCCAGGAACACTAGTATACCACAAACAGTCACAAATACTGCTGGTTTGTTGCAAGGTACATTTATTTACTATTTCTTACTCTCATACTTGTTTTTCTGAGCTTATAGTTTGTATAGTTATCATTTTCTTGATTAGAACTTCAACTGTCTGCCCATCTGATTGGCACTGTAATTTTCTTAAGAAAATGAACTTAACTTCTCTTAAGAAATTGTAGCATTTCTAGCATGAATTTTTGTGAGCTTTTACCAAGACATTATTCCCTGAAAATATGAAAACGATTCAGTGCTTTCTTAAAAGAAACCCAGTTTCATGAACAGGTTCTTGTGCTTGGTAACAAGTGATAATCTTAGAAAAAGATCTAGTTGAATTCCTGCAGATCATAGATCCTGCTGGCTGGGCTGCTCAACAATGGTAAGAGTGGAGAGTTATTAGATTTTTAAAAGAATTCTGGGGGCATTTCTGTTTTATGAAAATGGCATTGTCCTGAGGTGTCCCATATTCCTTCCATTTCCCGAGTTTAGGTAGGGTATTTCATGCTCAAGCAGGGATATTTGGAACGTGTGTTAGACTGAACCAAACTACGCCAGCTGTAGATAGTCAAACCCATTGCTGTCAAGTTGGAGCTGACCATCCCGTGAGTTTTTAGAGGCTGTAAATTGCATGGAAGGAGATGACCCATCTTTCTCCTGTGGAGCCATTGGTTGATTGGATCTGCCAGAGAGGCTGCCACCTTTGGATAAACCTTACAAGACCCTATGAACTGTGCCACCAGAGTTCCCTAATTGTAGACACAGAACCCCTGGGTTAACCTCCCTTTATCTCTCCTCAGTCTATTCTGGAACATTGTTTGGGGCTTGGGTGTCTTGCTGTCCTGATCTGGAACTCTGTTTTTCTCTAATAGAAAAGCCTGGGGTTGTCCAAACATAGGAGTGTGAGCCCCACCTGTTGTCACCTTAGGCAGATAGTTTCCTCCTCTAAAGGGGGTGATGATGGATCTGTCTCCCTTTTAGAGTTGTTACACTAACTGGAAGCTGGGTGGTTTGAACCCACACAGTGCCTGTGTAGGACAAACCTGAATCTGCTTCTCTCTGGACAAGTACAGGCTCAGGGCAGTAATGAACATAACATCATCCAACACCAGCAGCATGTTTTGAAGACAGTCCCAATAAGACATGTGGATATGTTCTCCTCTGAAATTTAAAGCACCATGCACATTTAATGTCATTCTTTTTCTATTCTTTGTGTTTAACATGTTGCCACACACTTTTAAATTTACGACTGTGCTTAGAAACACATCCCCCTCCCCCCGCCAATGTATTACCGTCATTTGTGGCAACATGTTAATCTGGTTTGTATAGAGCAGAGTTCAGAGCTGTTGTACATAGGAGTCACTATGAGTCACTAGCAACTCAACAGCACTTAACAATATGTATTTGTTGTCTCGATATAAAGCTTGTAGAGTCAAGGAATTGTGTATGTGTTATGTAGTATACTGCGTTTTTGCAACTAAGAATTTAGTAATGTTTATTAGTTCATTAATGTGTTTTTATGAGAAAGTTGTATAAACTAAAACTTATTTTGCTTTCTGATTTTATCATTGCTGCTTGTTTACTACTTTTGCCCTTCAGGATGGCTGGATTGGCGTTCAATCACTGATGCTCAAAAAAACACTAACAGCTACTGACTTCTACAATGGATATTTGCATCCCTGGTACCAAAAAAATTCTCAGGCTCAACCAAATCAATGCCAGTTTCAAACTCTAAGACCGCCAACAAAAAATCATCAGGGGAAAAAGTTGTTGCTATGCAACAGTGCACTAACTAGTTAGAAAGAAAGTGGGTATGAGTCTCTTAAGGACTTGTAATTTATTAAAAGCCTTATTTACAGGAATTACCTTGGGTGGTGCAAACAGCGTAATCATCACTACCCAAAGTGTTAGAGGCTCGAGTTCCTCCAAAGGTGCCTGAGAAGAAAGGCCTGGTGGTCTGTTTCTGAAAACCTACGGTGCCCAGTCTTGCAGTTCTGCTCTGGCACACACGGGGCACTGTGAGTCCCAGTCAGCTCTGTGGCAACCTTGACTTTCAAGGATGGTGACACTGTTGAAAGAAGACATTATTGTGAAAAAGATGGATTCCCTCACTTTCCATTTTTTGTTTAATGTTAATTAAGAGTAGCTTTTTCTGGGGAGCTCTGGTGGCCTAGTGGCAAGAAGCTGCACTGCAATCCCAGAGGCGCACGGTTCGAATCCACCAGATGCTCTGCCGAGGAAGGAGGGACAATCTCCTCCTGTACCAGTCAGATCTGATTTGACAGTACATGCACACACACAAATAATAAAATAAATAAATAAAAATTTAAAAAAAAAAGAGTAGCTTTTTCTACTTGAACACAGAAGCAGCTTTAAATAAAATGTTTAATAATGACAAACTAAGTGAAATTGTATTTTCCCCCAAGAGCAGAGGCAACTAACTGGTATGGGTATTTTTGTTTTGTTTTTGGGTATGGGGATGTGTGTGTGTGAGAGAGAGAGAGCGCGAGCGAGAATACATATACATGTTGTTGTATACTATTGAGTTGAACCAACCCAAAGCTGATCCTCTTAATCACAATCTCAAAGAGATTGCCCATCCTTTTCCCACAGAGGAGCTACTGGACTTGAACCATGTAACTTTGAGATTGCAGCGCAGCTTCTTACCACTAGGCCACCACAGCTCCCTATACACATATGTACATATATAAATACATATACATGTGTATGAGTGTGTGTATGTGTGTGTACATACATACATACATAAATACACTCAAGAGAGATTCTTTTATTAAAGTGAATATGTTGAATTTTTAAAATCCTTTTTCCCTGTTGACAGTGTTACCATTTTAGGAGTATTTAGTCTGCATTTCTAATTTTTAATAAGCAGTGAAGTTCATTTCATCGGTCATTTAGTTCTCATCAGGTAGTAAATATAAGGATATTTAACTTCTGTGCCATACAGATCTGTATTATAAAATCACCTTTTACATTTTCGTTTTCCTGCGTGGGATTATGCTCTTATTTATCACTTGAGAATAAGGGCTATTGAACATCTGGTCCAGGCAAACTCATGTTTTTCTGGGGGAGCTGGGTGCCTCTGTAAGAGGAAGGCGGTGCTGTGGCCATTGTTGACTTCTTCAGAATCCCCTCGCCCTTTTCACTGTGATTTGAATAAAAGTTTACAAAGTAAATTGGTTTTATTATGAGAAAAATTATTTATGTTGGCTTTTTCTACCTAGATTCCATCCGTCGACATCTTTCTCCATCTTTCATCTAGTCATTCAAAAGTGTTCATTGATAGGTTGATCATATAATCGACTATCTAACTTAAGACACGTTCATGAGTGAAAAGAGGCACTTACACTAATTACTCCAGGAAAACAGCATAAACCAGAATTTCCCAGGCAAACCCAAGTTGTCTGTTATCCTATTTATTGGAGCATTACTACAATCAGTAGCTTTTCTGCTCACTGCCAGAGAACTGAGAGTTAATAATATTGAGCATCTTCTAAATAGTGAGGAGGCAGGCATGAAGCAGATACAGTACAGCTATGTGAATGCTATAATGGAGGTAGAAAGCAAGCATTCATTCTCTCCCAGGGGGGTGAGTGCAGAGAGGCTTTCCAGAGAAAGTGAAACTTAATCCATGGTTGCAAATGATGGGTTCAGTGAGGAGACTTTGTTCTGGAAGGACACTCCAGCATGCACAGAGCACAAACACCATCTTCCTCCTTAAACCAGTTACACTCACACACACCCCTGCATGCAGTGGGGCTGGGGAAAGATAAATGGTAAGGAGGGGTGGGGTGGGGTGTGGAAACCCAGTGTTTTCAAGAAACTGCAAAATTTATATGAAATTTGACGATGGAGATAATAAATAAACTAAGTGGAGACCTGATCAGCCATAATGCGAGTTTGGACCTTGTAGGTAATACTTTTTCAAAATTGTTATAAAAACATATCCCAACATTTAGTAACAGTAGACTTTTAGGTGCAACACTGTGCCCTTCACCAGAGGTCTTTGGTAGCAAAAGACTAACTAGATCTGCATTTGGAAAGATAACCACTAGTCAAAGTTTGCAATAGTTTCTGACAGGTTGGTTGTTGCTTCTATACTTTGCATTTAGAGCAATATGTATAGTGAAAATCTATCCTGAGTCTTCCCAAAATGCATGTGTGTATATATACAATGGTATAATGTGAAACTATGTGATGATTTCCCTCCCCATGATTTCCCTCCCCCATGGTGACAGTACAAGTCAATAAATATTGATCCCCAAAGAAGAGCTCTTTTTATCAGATTACTGGTCCACAGGACACAGAATTAAATAGAACCAAGAGCTGGAATGATAACCTGAAGTCAGTCCTGCTTCTTGGGAAATGAAGCCACAGCTAGCTGAACATGGCACGTGCTGTCCCACCAGCTGTAAGCACCATGGTGGCTCTATACAGGAAGGCATCGGCTGCCCCACCCCCCTTAGATGCACTGGAATTCTGTTATACTTCTGAAATAGAAGAATTTCTGAAGTAGAATCTCTTTGGTTTTCTATAACTGTTTTCAAACTGCGTGAAGCAGTACTTAACGGTCCTCTGGGTAATTTGATGAGGAGACAGTAGATTCTGCAGCATCTGGGCTGTATTTTTACCCAGCAATCCCCCTTGACTCGATGACTTAAATAAGTACAAAAGTATAAAAGGATTAAGGGTGAAATATTCTAACAACATCTCAAAAATCCCCCCTTGTTGTTGTTGTTATGTGCCATCAAGTTGCCTCCCCATGCACAATAGCCCTGAATCCTGTCCTATCGTGGGCCAATTTCACTGTCTCTGACACACTTAGCCCTATTGCCAGCCACTGTGTCAATCCATCTCATGCAGGGTCTTCCTCTCCTGCGTTGTCCCTCCACTTTTCCAAGCATGATATCCAACAAGAACTGGTCCCTCCTGGCCACTTGCCCTAACTATGTGAAGACAGACCTTCAAAATTCTTGCCTCCAGAGAGCAACTTGATTTCACTCTCTCCAGGATAGACCTGTTTGTTCTCTTCACAGTCCATGGTTATGTTAAACACTCTTCTCAAAGATATCAGTTATTCTTCTGTCATGTTTATTCACTATCCAGCTTTCTGATTATAAATAGCAAGTGTGAAGACCATGGTCTGGATCAGGAACACCTTAGTCTCTAGAATGATGTCTTTGCACGTCAGCACTCTGGAGAGGTCCCTGACAACTTTCCCAATCCAATTCATCTTTTAATTTCTTGGTTCCAAGGGTGTTAACTGTGGACCTGAGCAAGCCAATATAAAATTTAGTTCAACCCTATGAATTACAGATCTGAATTCTGCCCTATCTTGCACCATTCTCACCATCTCTGATATGCCCGGGCCCATTATCACTGTGTCAACTGACCTCCCTGAAGGTCTTCCTCTCTTGTCTGACCCTTCTAATAACATGTTCATAATATGTGAGACAAGCTTTGTCATCCTCACCTCTAAGGAGCACACTGGTTGCACTTTCTCCAAGATTTCCTTGTTTCTTCCCTGGGCAATCCATGGGACTCTCCTCTAACACCACAACTCAAAGGCATTGATTGTTCTGTCATCCTTAGTCACTGTCCAACTTTCTGATGCATGGCGAGTAATTGAAAAGGCCATGGTTTGAATCAAGTGCACCTTGGTCTCTAAGCTAGCATAAATACTCCTTGGCACTTTGGAGCAGCCCTTTACAGCATATTTTCCCAATGTAACATGTTTCTGATTTTTTTTGAGCTTGACAATGACTAAAGATGTTAGAAGAAGAATTGATACCTTTGAGCTGTGATGCTGGAGAAGAGAATTGAATATACAATACCATGGACTGCTAGGAGAACAAACAGGTTCATCCGAGAGAGGGTGAAACCAGGCTGCTCCTTGGAGACAAGGATTCTGAAGCTTCATCTGACATACTTTGAACATGTTGCTAGGAAGGACCAGTCCTTGGAGAGGGACGTCATGCTTGGGAGGGTTGAAGGACAGTCCAAGAGAGGAAGACCCTCAATGAGATGGATTGATTCCGTGACTAGGGTAATGGGGGTAGGTGGTCAGAGACGATGAAATTGGCTCAAGATAGAACAAGGTTCAGAGCTGTTGTACATAGGATTGCTATGAGTTGCAGGTGACTTGACAGAACATAACAACTACCACCATGGGTGTGGATTATGAATCCAAGCAAGATGAAATCAATGACAACCTCATTCTTCATCTACCATGATGTTGCCTATTGGTCCAGTGATGAGGACTTTTTGTTTTCTTGATGTTGACATGTAATCCCTATTGAAGGCTGCAGTCCTTAATCACCTTCAGCAAATGTTTCAAGTCCTCTTCACTTAGAGCAAGCAACATTGTGTCATCTGCATAATGTAAGTTGTTGATGAGCCTTCTTCCAATCATGATGCCACATTCCTCTTCATAAAGTCTAGCTCCTTTAGTTAGTTGCTCAACATACAGATTGAACATGCACAAAGAATATGAACCTCTGAACATAATTGTTGTTCTGTATTATTGAGTCAGAATCAACCCACAATTGACCCTCCAGCAGGTTTTAAGAAGCAGTTAATCACAAAGGAGGAGATTCCCCATCCATAGCTGACCGTCCAGCAGGTTTTCAGAGGCAGTTAATCATACGGGAAGAAACTGCTTCTCTCCTGAAGAGCAACTGGTGGGTTCAAGCCTTTGGTGCCATTGAGTTGTCAGTGCAATTTCTTACCACTGTTGTTGTTGTTGTTGTTATGTGCCGTCGAGTCGTTTGTGACTCAT